ATTGTGATAATAAATTGAAGGAGTATTTTACACGATATGAAATGGTACTTTGTCTGGAACTGAACTTGCAATTAAATGTGGCAAATGTGTTAATACTTTAAAATTACCTGTTTCATTGTAACTCGTATTTTAAGACAAAGTCTGCCGTAACATCGACAATGCCGCCTCGGATAGATACATAGATTTTCGATTGCAATATCTCAAAAAGAAGGATCATGTTGTGAAACTATGAAACACCAGGAGGGTCACACTGTGACTACCTTCGAGGCTATGATCTTGAAGAACTCAATCATATAGTCTACCGTACACATGAACGTTTTTTGCCAATCCAAATACACAGTTTTGAGCTCATCGAGGGCTATATCACGCACTATTCAGATTTGAATTCTGAGTGACTTGAGATGTCGAAGTGGCTCTCTGGTTAGGAAGCACCACGTACACATAAATGTCCTAAAAGTCCCATATGGATATCTTTTCGAAATACCATTCAATCAGTCTCAGAGTTTTATCGAAGACATAGTTTTGACTGCTCCTTCTACTGATAGTATTAGAATTTCAAAACTCTATGATCAAACATAGCAGGATTCTAGAGACCCCCGAAAAACTCGAGAGTTTCGGGAAATAATTTTTCGATTCTGAACACCAGAGGTGGTAGCCCATATAAAATTGTGTCTATATTGATACGCAATGAGAAAGCAGGCGGTTTGTCTATCTTTCGTCGCATGATGTGTCACAAAAACTCCACTTTAACAGTAATTAGGGCTTACTCCTAGCACTTTGTCACCCATGAAAATTTCGAAATATGAAAAGCCAACTTTTCACCCCTAGGTTACCCTTAGGAGACTCGACATTTTTTGCTCCAGATTGAATTTCTTTATATCTAATCTGATGGATCTCGTCACGCTGAGACAAATATTATATTTTTATCGAAGTTTGACCAACGAATACGGAAATGACCTCTTATTTTCCAATTCTGACATTCACCGGTTTTTGACCTATGATCCTTCGTAAATCTCTTTTTTCAATATTTTAATTAACCATTACGACTCCAAATTTTTTGCTCGATCCGAAGTTGTAAGAATCGGTGCAACATTCTCTTTCTTTCGATCGGTATTGGCCAAATATCGGACCCGGTTAGTGCTATACTCAGATTGACCTAGTATGTTTATGCATTCTGCAATTTCTCATAGTTTCTCAGTCTAAATGTACGCAACTGGAACTAAACCGCATTATGATAAAGGTTAGTTCACTACTGAACCCGATTCTACTATTGGTTCTATAATACTAAGAATGATGGATTTTTCCTCACATTCATTCAAATACTTTGTGAACAACAGCTAGATTACTTTTTTTAATAATACGGTTTTCTTAATTGATTTTCGCTCCTTTCCATATTCATCGTAGCATCAATATCTTTTAATTGAGTAGCATATCGCTAGCACTGTAGGTGCTCTCATGAAAGCTCTCCAGAAATAATGATTTTTCCTGAATATATCTGAAAATCTGCTCCTGCAAAGCGATCCGCTCGTTGTGCTAATCAGAACTTTCATTCTATCGTTGCAAAATGTGTCTCAATTCTGCCGAAGCAAAATGTACAAAGTATTATCTTTCGCGATTCTTTTCTCTTGTGATCTTTTGTATGTCCGATTAACCATCGAAACAAGCAGCAACTCACAGTTCTTCGCCTGTTCTTTGTGACAACAAAATGAGAGTATTACACATACACATACAAACAGAGAAAGACATTGCTATTGCCTAAATTTTTTTCTTCTAGCTGTTCTACTACATGAGAGAACACGAACTGCCAACATCAATGTATGTCTACGATTAAGAAACACGAGTAGCTTGTGACCATGAACCCATATTTTCGTCCATTTCTCTTGCTGATCTCTCTCTTGACAATTGTGCATGTCGTGCAAATCTCTCCGTCAAATTCCTCCATCATACTAGTCCATGAGCACAATCAAGCGAAGAATTTCGATGAACTTCTGAAATTTTCCCCGTCGAATATTAATTATAATTCGACAAAATCAAATCTATCCATGAACGATGTTCTTCTGACTGTGCGCACCTCGAAAACAACGCAAAACTTTCGTCTACCACCTATTCTCAAGACTTGGTTTCATTTTTCTCCCGATACAACCTATATCACCACGAATGGTGACGTGAACTTTCTCCGTCAATTAATCCCATCACATCATCATCATCAGATCTATCAAAGTAATTGTCCTCAGGTTTATTCGGTTCGTGATCTATGTTGTTAGAGTGCCTTAGAATTTCACATCTATTTCGCACTCGAAAAACAATTTCAATGGTTATGTCGTTTTGACGATGATCAGTATGTCAATGTACCTCTTCTCATCGATTATCTTCGTCAATTTGAAGGCGATTCGCAAGCGCTCTACATCGGCAAACCCAGTTGGAAAGAACCGAAAGTTCGTCATCATATTCGATTTTGGTTTGCAACCTATGGTAGTGGTATTTGTTTCTCACGACGTCTCTTACGTACGATTCGAGATGAAGTCGAACCAGACGAACGATTCATGCGTGGTTGTATCGCTTTGAATTATCCTGATGATATCCACATTGCCTATCTACTACACACGAAATTCAATATTAATCTAAGAATTGCCGAACATTTTCATCATCATATCGAAAGTAATCTCTTTACGAATCCACCAAATGCTTCGAATATCGATCAAGCAATTACACTCGGTTTTAAGGGTTTGAATGTACCTCGATTTGTACCGATTTTCGAGCGCGATACTTTTCGCATGCAAACATTACATTGTCTTTGTACAAATGTTGTGAGAGAGTGAAGATAAGTCATAATTGACTTGGGGACAAGGCGCATTCTGTAGAAATAGGAGAATCTCTGATCGTCTTAAATAAAGGTTCAAAATTTGAAATCGATTCTTGACTTTTCTAACGCTACTCGAAATTCTAATTATATTGCTGGATTTTTTTCAATCTCTAATAATACTTGCTTTTTTTTTTGCTTTTTTATATTTGAATATCGAATTAGTTAAAAGTTCATAATACACAGGACTCGTCTAGGTTTTACTTAAATAAGAACGAACATGTTAAAATTCGCTTGAAACTAATCTAGTATCGAGTCTGAAAGATATCATGTTTAATGTGTCGTTTTCTTCCAAGATACAACAATAAATCAGAACACGTCATTGATGATAGTGTGAGTTTGGGATCTTTCCCGCTTGATGTCATTAACGCCCATTTATATTATGTAGACCTATTCTTGGATATAATAGGATTAATAGGAAAAAACCAACCAATCTAATAGAAGTTATGTGTACCTAGTAGAAAGACATGTAAGAGAAGAACGGAAAACGAGTTATGCAATCCGTTTGCCTTGACACATATCAAGCATAAAAGAAGGTTTTTTTCGTGTTGTGCAATACTCGTCAGCCCATTCTTTCATAATATAAAT